TCTGTTTGTGATTGAATGTTAGTGCCAAGTCAGAAAATTCAACTGGAACTAGGGTTGCTACTAATGATGGTTTGAAAACCATCTTTTTAATTTTTTTTTAATCTATATCTATATGCCTGATTTTCTTCTAAAAACCATATTAAGCTATGCAATTTTTAAGTTAATTTTACTTTTCACAGTCAATATACACAAAAATTTTTTTTGGGAAAACATGCACAACCAGCACAAAAATAAGACAGAACCGTTCAACTAAATTGCTCAGGGGGCCACGGGTTATTGAGAGCTAACAGCTCTGGGTCCGGACATCTGTCAGTTATTGTCATAATGTAAGTTTTAAAATTTAGTTTTGTTTTAAATGAACTTATTGGCAGGTGGACTGTGTTGTATAGTCCATCCATCCATTATCTATACCCACTTCTTCCTTTCAGGGTCACGGGGTTCATTGGTGCCCATATCCAGCAGTCTCAATGCGAGGGGCGTCATACACCCTGGACAGGTCACAAGTCCATCATAGGGACACATAGAGACAAACAACCACTCACACTGACCTAGGGACAATTTAGAGCTACCAATTAACCTAACAGTCATGTTTTTGGTAGCCGGCGTGCCCGGAGAGAACCCACGCATGCACGGAGAGAACATGCAAACTACCCAGAAAGGCCCCCAGGCCAGGATTTGATCCAGCGACCTTCTTGCTGAGAGGCATCAGTTCTACCAACTAAGCAATCGTGCCGCCCTGTCATAAACCATTTTTATGCTAAGATAACCTCTCTGATGAACATATTTGTATGGTAATTCAGGCTTTTAATTCTTTTTTCTCTCTTGGATTATTTTATTTGACGAAACTTGGATTAAACTGATTCTGACTTTGTGTCCCTCAGTTAATCATGTTACACAAGTGTCATCATTAAAATCCATACCTGAGGTTTTTAGTTTGCTTTATGAGACGAAGCCAAATTGTTTTGCTTGACTAATGAACATGTTTTACTGAGGTTTAGCAGCAAATGTTATGTGCTGTTTTTGCTGTGTTTTGGAGCCAGTGTTTTAATTCTGGAAAAACAAAATACTTTTATAAGCACCACTTGGTCTCTGTTGGCCAGCTTTAGTGACAGAATTCTTTACTTGAGATTAGGTTTGGCTGCAGATTTTATGAATGTTTTTTTCTGCATGTGACATTTGTTTATATTCATTTGAAGTTGCTCTATAAGAATTGAAGAATAAATTGATCTTGTTTTATTCTTGAGCAGGGCTATTTAACTAAATTGCTCCGGGGGCCACAGATACTGCAGGTCAACAGCTGAGGGGCCGAACATCCAGCAATTAAAGTTATGTAAATAAACAAAGTATTACAAAGATCTGCTATCTTTGAAATAGTTTATTTTGCTGCATTTAATCATTAATACAACATACAGAACCCTATACAAGTAGTCATAATTCAACAATATCAAAAATAAAAAGAACACAGTATGCCTCCTATTTGACACAAATATTATTTTGACATCTCTGACTTGCCAATTTTTTAAACCAATTTTAGTTCTATCTTCAACTGCTTGCAGTTTTAACTGTCTTGCTTTTGCATAGAAATGGTTTATACCAGCTTGTAGCCAAGATTCTGACTTTTCTATAGATACCAAACATGTCTATGTCTATCTAAAAGAACTTAGAGTGAGTAAAGTAGAAAACCGGGGGTTTGGGCTTAAAGAGATGAATAAAACAATTGGCGGGCCGAACTTTGGTCAATCGCGGGCCGGATTTGGCCCGTGGGCCGCCAGTTGAATAGCCCTGTTCTTGAGTGATTACTCAGGCTGTTTGTCTTTGCAATTGAAGAATAAATGTCAACAGCTAGTTCCTTTTTTATATTGACTTACTGAAGTATTTTACTTTTGCAAACTAGATTTTTACACCGTTTATGCTTCTCATTAAGTTTATTAAATCCTCAATACGCTCTGTTTCAGAACAGCTAGATCTAGCCAGTTGTACTTTATTGGGGGGTTTATTTAAAACATTTTCATCTTTAAATAAATCAACTAGAATGACTGAATTTAAAGTTGTTTTAATGACTCCAGCCTTAAAGTATGTAAACTTTACAAGTTTGTTTTCTTAGGCTTGTTATAAAAACCCTATATGTGTGTGCTCTGCAATGTTTTGTAAACAGCAGTAAACCTAATAACTTTCCCCTGAGCTCAGACAGTGATTTTAGACTTCCCTCAGTAATAGACTCTGTGTGTGTGTGTGTGTGTGTGTGTGTGTGTGTGTGTGTGTGTGTGTGTGTGTGTGTGTGTGAGTGAGTGAGTGTGTGTTTGAGTGCACACTGTCCTGGTATTTCCAACAGCTGGATCCAGTTAACGCGCAGCCAGAGCTTCCTCGGGCCTCTGAACGGGGGGGCAGGATACAGGCTGCTTTTGTGGACTAGCTGTGTGTGAATTTTTTGTTTCTGGCTGTGTTAGTGTGGCAGACATCCTGGTGTGTTTATGCAGCAGGTGGGGGAAGTGGTGTGTCCGTGTGTGTTTGGATTTTTATCTGACATAGATTCAGTGGAGATAAGAAAAAAGCCTTACCACTGTTTACCTGTTTGTTTCTGTTTTTTTGTGAGCTCTATAAAGTTGGGCTTGTGCTTAAGTTCAACTTCTAGTCCAATCAGTACACGTTATTTCTATTTTTTACTTTGAAAGAAAACTTTTTCCTTCACATTTACACATAAATAAATGTAACATTAGAAAATATAGCTTTTATATTAAATAGTTTGCGTGTTGACCCTCTGGCTATTCATCAAAAGGATGTTGTTGGGTTATTAAAACTGTTGGCGTTTTTAAGTTCCATCCCACAAAAGAAAACCTCAGAGGTTTGAAAAGGCAAAACTTTATTATTATTTTTATTTTTTTGATTGAAAATATCAGTTTGTAGTCAGGACGAGATATCAGAGCTCCTGCTGCTCTGTCTGCTTTGGATTCTCTCCTCGTTTAGGGTCAGAGGTCACAGTTGAGAGTCTGTAGGCGTCACTCATAGCTGAATGAGCACCAAAGGCCCTTTCAGTTGCGGGGCTCTGTGTTTGACAGTAGGTAGGAGGCAGGGTGTTCCCTGTTTTCAGACACGGTCAATAGTGGAGCCTGGTGATTTGGGGAGCTGGTGGTGCGAAGAAGTGTGTAGAGTGGACTCTGTTCTTTGTCCAGCTCCACCCTGAGGGCCCGGTGTCGGAGACAGCAAACATTACTCTGGTGTTCATCACATCAGCACAAACCTCTTATCTACAACCCGTCTTCCTCTTGTGGAAGTCAACTGTGTGCCTCCTTGTGTGTGTGTGAGTTGTGGGAGAGCAAGTTGTGGTTTTTGGTCTGGGAGAATGTAAACATGTGGGAGATTAAGCACTATCTCATCTCAGGGCCTCTACACTGTGAGTATTTCCTCCTACTGATACTGGCCATTTAAGTTCCGAGCATGTCTACGTTGAAAGTCGTTGGTGAACATTTTTCTCTTCTAGAAATGTAAACTGAACAGGAACACACAAAGTGTGATGTAAGACAAAGTCTTAAACCTTAAGCATTACAACTGCTTGAGATAAATATTAAAGAACTTGGTGTTTGGGACAAGAACAAATAGTTCGTTATCCAGTCCTCTGAGAAGTTATTTGTCAAACCTGTTTCACATTTTATATTAGGCTGTCGAGAAAAATCACTTTATTGTTCAGTGTACCACTAGTTAGTCCCAGTACATTTTAAATTAAACAAAGATTATAAGCAGTAATGAATAAAACTTGTGCCTATCAAAATATTTTTTCACATTTTTATGCTAGCTAATGTAAGTAATTTTTGTATTTCTGTATTGTGTGTACATAATAGGGGTGTAAGAAAATATCGATACTCTGAAATATCGCAATATTTCATTTCCCGATACTGTGTCGATATTCTAAAGCCTTGTATCGATTTTTAATTAAGGTTTAAAATGTCAACATTGCCAACCGTTCATTTTTATGTTGTAGTTCAGCCTCTGACCACTACTTGGCAGCAGTGAGCCAGCCATTTGGCTCCTCTACCTCTTGAGCGCTAGAGAGTAAGGGTAGCATTAGCANGATATTCTAAAGCCCTGAATCAATTTTTAATTAAGGTTTAAAATGTAAACCTTCTTGCCAACCGTTCATTTTTATGTTGTAGTTCAGCCTCTGACTTGGCAACAGTGAGCCAGCCATTTGGCTCCTCTACCTCTTGAGCGCCAGAGAGTAAGGGTAGCATTAGCATTGTAAGTAAACATTAGCTTTTCTTATTTTTTTGTCAGTAAGAGGTTTTTATTTAATAGATTTTTGGACAAAAAAAATCGCAATATATTGCCTTGCTTACAGTATCGCAATGTATCGGGATATATCGTATCGTGACCCCTCTGTTATGATATGTATCGTATCGCCAAATTCTTGCCAATACACAGCCCTAGTACATAACATTTTGTGATTTAAATATCCACTTAAATCAAGATTGTTTTGAGTATAGTTTGTGTTTGAAGAGAACTTTAAATAATCCCTCGTCTCATGACTTCTAATGATTGAGTTTTTCTGACTCAGTTCTTTTGAAGATATATGACAAAGTTGCCAAATACTCTTTGGGTTTAAAATAGCAGCTACATCAGTTGGGCTTTTTAAAATTACATAGGTATTTACCTAATTTATGATCATTTTTAAATTAGTGTTCATGCGCTTTAGTGACTTTTACATACATGTGTGTGAGAGTGTTCAGCAGTGCATATTAATGCTGATTGTCACTCAAGTTCACAATATGTCATATTACTGCAAGTTAAATTTTTTAGCACAGATGTTTTTCTGTTTTCTAAAATGAACTGCTGCAAACTGCATGTGGTGATGAGCAGCTCAGCTGCTGATAAGATTACAGCTTTGTGCTCTTTATCAACAGGTCTTATTGTGTCAGTATTGCATTTTATGAGAGTTATCAGAAACAGAGGTGGATACTGTTTTGTGAAATGTGTGTGTTGTATTCACCGTCCACTTCTCTCCTCAGTACCTACCGTTTCAATGGCCTTTGCTGGACGTACCAGGAAGAGCAGCTGTCAGAGACTCTACTACTCCTACACACCTGGTACAACCTGCACACACACACACACACACACACAC